TTGGATTCTCCATAATATACACACAAACCTTTTTGATGTTAATAAGTCTTTTTTTACCTAATAAGAGATTTAAATTGTACCATGTCAATTTGCATAGACTCTAGCTTCCACATGTAAGCTTCCAAAAACTTAGAACGTGTCACTATGGCTTAACTTATATTTCTTCAACCAAATCTTTATTCTTTACATCTTTTAAAGAATTAATTGTTGTATAGAATGGCTTGAAAAATAAATTGCTCTAGTAAATTTGCTCTCAATATTGTCAATAATAAATCCTTGATATGATTTTTTAATCCATATCAAAATTGATTAATAAGGATTTTGTCATTTCAATTCATGTTGCAAAAGAGATTTTAGAATTCCACAATATATGTATGGTGGTTGAATGTGATTCTTGTTGTAGTGATATAAGCTTGATTTTTGCTACTCTTTCTTGATCATTTTTTTCAAATTTAGTCATTAATACTTTCAAGAATAATTCAAATCATAGTATAGTTATGAATCTTTTTTCATCAAAGGTATAAAACAAGAGAGAATACTTTTTGAGAGAAGTACTTTTATAAATCAGAGTGGAATAAATCCATTGAAATATTAGAAGAGATGTAACTTTATTTTAAGCATAGCTTATTGAAGAAATCTTCAAAGTTTTTGATCTTGTTCCATTAAAATTTTTAGGCATACTAATTCTTTCTTTTCTTGTGCTTGTAAAAGCAAGACTTTCTAAATTTTGTTGTAAAGCTGATTTACTTGCTTTCTTCAATTGCACAACTTTTTGGCATAGATTTTAGGTTTTTTTTTATATGTGTAGGAATAGTGCTTTCATCTTTCATATTAAAAATATGTGAGATTTCTATTCTTAGAATATTGATAAATTCATAAAGATTTAGAATAGTTACAAATCTATTCTTTTTTTTATTGAGAATAGCATCTATAATCTTTTCTTCAATAGAGAATTCATATAAATTCAAAAAGTTAAATTAAAGAAGGATAATTTGCAACCTCTAATATCAAATAAAAAATTTTACAAAAAAGGATAATCTACTTTCTTTAAGAAAAAAAAATCTATGTTAGAAAATTAAATTTTTTATTGAAAGGTGAGTAATCTACAATCTTCAAAATACAAAAATAGAAGTAATATAATCCACTCACTTCAAAAATAATACAAAAATAATAACTTAGCATTCTTCTCAAATTATCAAGGACATAAATCTTGAAAAATAAAATCTTCAATATACTCTTGTATCATTCAAAAAGACTAGGAAATCACTCAAAGATAGTAATATATTTAATTGGAATGTCTATTGCCAAAGACAAGAAGACTAAAGAGTCTTGAAACAAGACTAAAGATTGAAAAGGCATTAATAAGAGTGAAGAAAGCTTCACTCTTATCCCTATATATATATATTTTTAACTAAAAGCTACATAGCAATATTCTACATGACTTCCAATAAGTATTGACTTTGCTATATACATATCTTAACTTACAAGAAAAGTTATCTATATGTGCACCATATAGTCAACTTGTTCTACAAGCTATTAAGATGTGTGATGCATGGCTAACTTTGTGACTAAGTTTGTAACTTATCAATTAACTATAAATACGTTGTCATGATGTAATACAACTATATAGTGAAATTATAATCAAAATTAAATTTCTAATTAATATCTAATTATCTTGGTTCAATAATAATTCAAGGTATCTAAACATGGCTTTTATAAAAGCCTCTTAGATTATTTTCTTACCTTAATAATTAGTAGGTTGAAGGTTGCTTAGTACTTTTACCTTCTAGGCTATAGAAACTCTTTTACTACTTTAGAAAGACCATAAATTGATAAAATCAAGTTAAAAGAGATAAATAATTAATATCATTGATACTAAGATTAAGTTGAAGATAGGGTTGGGCTAAAAAATCCTTAGGATAGGTTAGATTGATACTTGGGGATCAACCGTTTGTAAGAGAGGGTTGAAATTACACCTATGGCGACTAAAACGACTGCCTAGGACAAAATAGGGATTCATTCAAAGATCAGAGATGAAGATTAGAGAGTTAGCTTCAATCTCTTTTTAGAAGCATAAGGCTTGTTTTTGTAGGATTTGTGAAGTTTGGGCAATTGTTGTTCAAAATTAGAGTTTGTAAAGGTGATTTGGATTTTATGTAATATAATTAAGGCTAGCATTTTTGGCTAATTTGTGCAATTGATATAACATCTATAGTTCAAAATTTGGTACTGTCCGAATTGTTAGGTGTGCCAAGTGTACACAAAATTTTGTGATAATCCAACGATGTAATTGATAGATAATTGGGTTTTCCTACAAAAACATACTGGAAGTTGGGAGTTCAGAGTTGGATTGGATTTCTATGATATCTGAAGATCTACTAATTGAATCAAGGTAAAATTTGGCATGGTATTGGAAGACTTGAAGATAAAGCTATACAAAAATTTTGAATTGAAGTTAATGATTGAAAAAGGATAAATTAATGCTGGAACTTCTACATTACCTTTCAAGTTGGTGGCCAATTGACATTAATGCAACTTTTTTGGAGATTTTTTCACAATTTGTATATTAGATTGGGTTGAAATTTCTTGAGCATATAGAAGACTTATATTGACAATTGCATGCAAAATTTCACATCAAGTAGACGGCCAAATTATAAGTTGCAGCTTATCAAAGCTCACTGATTAGGATTAGAGCTTATAAGAAAAATCTAAATTACTTAAATATGAAAGTAAAAAAGTAATTGGGGTTTAAATATGAGTGAAGCCACTAAGAAGAGTGTTTTTTTATTATTTTTGAATTGAAATTTGGATTATATTCTTTCTATATGGATGAAACGTATTAAGATTTCTTGGATACTTGTGAAACACAACTTCACATTTCTTAAGTAGGTGCACACTGCATTGTCAAATAAGACAATATGTAATGTAACCATATGTAAAGCCAAAGTAGTATCAACGGAGTTTTTAAGAATCTATTCTTACAAATATTATGAAATTAATCTATTATTATATATTTTTATTTAATCATATAGATAATTATTAGACTAAATTTGTATGTCCATGACATTATTAAGGATTTAAGAAGATCACCTTCAAGAATAAATACCCTCTATCTTTGATTTCAAGACTTTTTCATCAATTCAATTTAATTAAGATCTATATTAAAATAGATCTATAAAGAGCATATAATCTAATATGCATCAAAAAAGAGATGAATTAAAAACTACATTTCAAACTAGATATGGCATTTTAAATATAATGTTATGCCTATTGAACTCAAAAATGCACTACTTGCTTTTCAACACCAAATGAATGATGACTTTTGTGAATTTATTGATGACTTTATTATCTATAACTTGGACAATATCTTAATCCATTCTAAAAATATAAAATAGTATAAACTTTATATTTATCATGTATTACAAAAATTAAAAGATGTAAGATTATGTGCCAAGATAGAAAAGTGTATATTTTACATTACTCAAGTTGACTTCTTAAAACATATCATTTCAAATGATGGTCTTATGATAGATCTTAAGAAGGTCTTATCATGGACATACATACTTATTCTAATATTTATTTATATGATTAAATAAAAATAGGTAAAAATAGATTTATTTCATAATATTTTCTAAAAGATAATGCTTTAATTTTGAATATGTTTGTAGTTGATTGATAGGCTAAAAACTTGGTCAACAAGTTAACCAAGAGTTAGTAGCTTGATGAACAAGCTAACTATGTGGCGTACATATAGAAAACTTGCCTTGTAAGTTAAGATACATGTCTTGCAAAGTCAATACATTTTGGAGGTCATATAAGACATCATCATGTAGCTCTTAGTAAAGAATATATATAGAGATAAGAGTGAAGAATTCTTCACTCTTATCACTGCCTTTTTAATCCCTAGTCTTATTTTAAGACTTTTTAGTCTTTTTATCTTTGATAACAGCCATTCTAGCTTAATGTTATATCATCTTTGAGTGATTTTTTAGTTCTTTTGAGTAACTCACAAGTATATTGAGGCTTGTAAGAATCTTTGCTACAAGATAATATCAAATCTATCTACATTTATCTTGTCTCTAATATTTCTTATTTAAGTAAATATGTACATCCATAACACCTTTAAAGTTAAGACACATATTGGAGGTCTTATAGAACATCCTCACATAGCTCTTAATTAGTTAGTATACATAGAGGCAAGAATGAAGCCTTCTTCATTCTTATAAATGCCTTTCTAGTCCTTCGTCTTGTTTCAAAACTTTCTAGTTTTTTTCTCTTTGACAAGAGCTATTTTAATTTAATATTATACCATTTTTGAGTGATTTTTTAGTTTTTTAAAAATCACATAAAAATATATTGATCTTTTAATTCTTTGAGATTCATGTCCTTGATAAAAGTAGATGTAATTACTTTTAAGAATCATAATCCTATGTAAACTAAACTACTAAAAGACCAAATTTTAACCCATCTTCTCTCTAGTTTATACCACAAATTCAATTCTTTGAGGATATATTTTTTGTACTTCCCTCTTCAATTTCTAATATATATATATATATATATATATATAGACACACATGTAAACAGGTCTAGGTGAAAAGAAAGTTGATTTCCAATCTGAACAGAGTAGAAAGCTTCAAGTAATGGCCAAAGTCAAAAGAAAAGAATCAGAACATTGGCATTGCAGTGGAATGAGGGATGACATGAGGCGGTGGACACACTCCCTCCTAGCAAACAAAGAACTGATAAAAACACCCACAGATAGACAGACCTCAGAAAGGACCCCAAACACAACTATACGGACGCAGTGGAGTCTGCAAATATAAACAACGGAAATGGAGCACTTTTTCACACCCTGGACGACAAGATTGATTCTGTTACTTTAGAAACTCCAACTGTTGAGCACCCAATGGGCCCCGTGTCTCCCTTGCAGCACACTTTGCTTTTTGTGCAGAAATACTAAATAGCTGCATACAGTTGGGCTTCACACCTCGACCGCAACTCGCACTACTCAGTACTTCTCGTGACAAAAAAGATTACTCCGGCGTCCGCACCCAATCTGCCTAGAGAGGTCTTTCTAAAGCTTTCAGAATAGATAGTCGATTCTTAGTTAAAAAACAAAAATGGTTAAATCTCGCTTGACAATTGAGGTTAGCTACAAATCAACGTCACGGAGTTATGGCTCATGAATCGGTCGTCTCCGATGACAGTCGATCTTGATGGGCCAGGTTTTTTCCCAGCATCTGACTCCGCAGATTCTAGCTACATGTCGAAATATTTAAGGTCGTCTTATGGCTGGAATCCAGTCTGTTGGGACACTTGTCCGATTCAGAGGGACTGCTGCTGATTTGCTTCTAAGTATCCCCCGAATGGACCTGGTACAATTCAGCTATTGTTTAAAGACATCGCCATTTTCTGTGTCGAATTGCATCGCATGAACAATTGTTGTTAGTTTCTGCAAGTTGGAGTTAGTTCTCTTCCGTGTGTGATCTAGAACTGTTGTATTGTTTTCTTGTAAGTTGGTTTTGATTTTGCTGAGAGCAGGGATCATGGACAGTCGGGATTATGTAACCACGACGCAACCAGCGCACAATCACTACCCAGGTGACCCGAACATGGTAGGCGCAGCTCCTAGAGACGAGAAGAAGGGGATAGCGGACAAAGTGAAGGGGCTTTTGGGAGGACACGGCCACAAGACGTCGGACGCTCATGCGAATCACCAGCCTGGAGTGTATGGCGATGCAACAGCCTCGACGGGAACTGCCCAGTCTACACAAGTGGGGTGCCTGGACAAGCTCAAGGCTAAAACAGGCGTTGGCCATGGACTCGCGCCCGAGCAGACTCGAGCCAACCGTGCAGCGACAGGCCACGCCATGGATCCTGTTGGCACGGGATATAGTCACGCCGACACGCCTTATAGCCCGGATCACAATGGCGGGATGAACATCAATTCCAGTGCGGCTGTGCACGGCGGATGGCCATATCCCACAAACCCAAATCAGGTCGGAAGCGGGTTCGGTGAACTTTCCACCAACCCAAATCAGGTTGGAAGCGGGTACGGCGGACCGCATCCCACGAATCCGACCGGGGTTACGAACCCCGAGGGAGGAGCTGTGATTACGGATCACCACGGGAATGTACATGAAGGTCCCCGCGATGACAGTGAGAAGAAGGAAGGGTTTGTGTCGAAGATCATGGACAAGCTGCACCCTCCGCGAGGAAAGCATGCCAACACCCCGACCACCACTCCCCCAACCACATACTAGACGCTTGTGCATGCCGCGGCAACGATAGTTGCTGTCATCATCTATGGTGCGTGAAGAATTCCTTGGTAATGTTTTGCTTCTCTTGCTTCTCGGTTCAATTTTTGATGGCAGACAACTCTCGAATGACTTGAGTTTCTCCACTAGATTATACAGAATTGACACAGTGTTCGATATTTAAGCTCGTTCAAGCAGCGTTTGTAGTGATTTATAGTTTGGGTTGCACGCCTGGATGATACGTCACAGGTTATAGGAGTTCCTTATGCAGTCACATCACTACTGGGTGACCATGAGAGGTGCCACCATATCGAATACGGGCATTTGTACTGTTGTTTTAGTACATAGTTTTCTGCAGTGAGGGCTTAAACTTCCCATTCCATATCGCACCGCAGGTTGTAACGGCAGCACAAATAGGCATCAGTGGCAGATTAGATAGATGGCTGATACAGATCTTCTTTGGAACGATGAAACTGCTTTGGAATTGCTAAGACTGGGGTATTAGAGGATCGTTATCATCTGTTAGAGTTCCCCTTCGATGCATAATTCATCGAACCTGGTGGTCACCACGCATTCCCGTCGATGAGAGGTACCTCGGAGCGATCAGTGTAGTGGTGCGTCGTGTGGTAGATATTTCTGAGCAGGTATTGCGTTTCTTATTGTAAATTCGTACCCATTTGTATGCAGTTCGTAGATGTGAATACCTGTACATGGTTGTGCGCATGCATGGGGTGTGTTGAGTTGCTTGTTTGTGATCAGTTGCTGCTGCTCCCAACATCATAACCTTCACTTGCTAGAAAAAAAAATGGTCATAGGAGGATTTAAGAGCATTCTGAGATAAATTGGATTGGCCATTAAAGAAAACAAAAATCATGCTTGGAAATTAATTTGGTTTTAAGCGGTGGAAAAATTTAACATATTTTGCAAAAAGAATATACATTTCAAGAGGAGATTGGCTTCCATTTTCATTTCTATGAAACGGTGCAATGGTTTTGAAAGTCCTGTAATACTCTTTTAACAGTGGTGGTGTGTTCTTGATGGCTCCTATGGTTACAAGTCATACTAAGATTACTCCACAGTACTAAAAGCTACTCTTGTGCTGCATAGAGAATATCTAATTCCAAGAAATTTCGTACAACATTTTTATAAATAATAAGTCATCTTCATAATAATTTAAATGAAATTATACTATAACTTTATTATCTAAGGAATAAAAATAAAAATATGTGGCAGAGGTGAACACATGAAATAAGTATCTATTAAGCACAATTATGCTGCGAGAGATCTGCCATACATGAAGTTGTGAATACAGAATCTTTTGTTACACTCATTTTTTCAAAATAAAACAATTAATTTACATCACGTTAAAACCAACATTTAATAACTGCACACAACATATCACTTCCAATAGAACTTATCTGACCTTCTACAGGAGACCAGTAGAAAGTCTTGACAAGATTGGCCAGATCAAACCGAAGTAAAGGAACATTGTAGGAAGCAGACATACCTGTTGCAACCTATTTAGAATGCTCAACATATTTAACAATTAATACAAAACCTGCTGAGACAAAGATACATGCTAAATCAAGCATTTAATATCCTGAATTGACGGTAAAACAAGCAACTCAACTGCTTCTCGAATTCAGGAAGTAGTTGCAAGTAAAATTAGCAACTATTGGGTCGCAAACAGACAAGAATGACGAATGAAAGAGTGCTTGTTAGCCCTTGCAAAGGGAACAAGTTTATTGCGCAGTAAATTTATAAAGAGCTGTAACTGTCATAATTTAAGTTCCCGCTGTGTCGTCAGGGTGGTCATCAATCACAAGATGATCCAAGTTGTGTTGATCTTATAACATACATCTGTAAATGGTCTGTACAGGTGCTATAGGGTGAGCTACGCCTGAGACTTGATCATGTGGCGAGCCATCACAACACGCATAATCTCGTTAGTTCCCTCCAAGATTGTGTGAACACGAAGATCTCTTACATATCTTTCCACCTGCAATGGAAACAAACAAGAACTTCAACATCAATTACAATGCATTATTACTCACTTCAATTCATATCTCTTCTCGACATTTCTTTCAGAAGCAATAAAGAGTGACAACATGAACATCGTGGACATCATGTCACAACATCCCAAGACTATGATCTAAATTATATTTTGCATGAAGATAGCCACACACAAGTTTTGACCCATCGCAGAACAAGAGACCAGTGACCAAATTATACTGCAACGCATTCTTCACTACCAAGCAACCTTGTGTTGACAATGCAAATGAGAAAAAAAAGAAAGAGAAACCAATAGAACTGAACTATTTACAAGCTTTTAGGTGACCTATCTTCCAAAAAAGATGTAAAAAAGATGTGGCACGTTTGCTATTTAGAAAGACCTCAGAAAGGGCTTAGTTCACAAACTGCATAATCCTTCAAGTAACCATAGCCACCGTGAAGTTGCAGGGCATCATTGGCTACATTGTAGCATTCATCAGTAGCAAACCTGCACAAACACGCAGACGAAAAATTGCAGATACACAGTAACTATTAGCAGCAATGTTACCCATGCCATGCAATTTCAACCCACAAAACTGATGTTGAGAAAATTTCAATTCTGATGTTCCTGTTCTCAATACAAAACTTATAATCAATTAGCATCATAAGCAATTTGATTTGAATTTTTTCAATGAACACAAAGAAAGAAAGTTCAAACCCCAAAAATCAGCCTTACGGGTTCGTTAATCTCCAAGTCCATAATCATCTTTAAAATTAGACCATAAAGATTCTCCACAAAGTTCTTCCCAGGAAGATTCTACTGCATTTAAAGATGTTACTGCCTTTTTAGTGGCAAGGTAATCCCTAAAAGTCGCCATGTCACATTATTACTCACCTCTTCGCCATGGCAGCTGAAGCTGAAGCCCAGGGAGCCTTTGAATCAAGAGCTGTCGCTGCGTTAAGAACTAAGCAGCGAGATGCTTGAACTTTAGTTAGCATATCTGCTAGCTTGAATTGGGTGTTTTGAAAGTCAATGATGGCTTTGCCAAACTGCAACCCAACAATCAAAGATTAGAATACTCTCATGTTCAGCCCAAACTACACAACTACATAAGGCAACATCGACAGTTGAGAACGAACAGACATTAAGTAAACAGCGGTTCAGAAGTGTAATTTCGAGTGGTCAACTTCCAGCACAATATCCATTGACATTCTGAGAGAAATTGACACCCATTGCTAGAGAAGACATCGAGAAACAATGGTAAACACGATAAACACTCGAGGTGTAAAATGAAAGTCTTCTTATAAAGGTACGTAGACTCGAACAAAAATCCACCATTTACTTGTTTGCGGGTCGAGACATAGCCTTGTGCAGCATCCACACAAAATTGGGCACCCCCAACACTGCAACAAGATACAAAAGACTTTGCTTAGCAGAAGCACTGCTCAAATTAAGTCATAAAACGAAATATTAGAATTGCTTAAAGGGGTTTTTAGGTTTTGGAAGTGGGACCTGAGGGATCTCAAGGTGTATACCTTGATTGCCACTACAATAATAACAAATAAGTCGTAAAACAGAAGATTGTCACCTGCATGTAGCGATATTGATGCGACCCCCGTCCAATGCTGACATTGCGATAGTAAATCCTTCTCCTTCCTTTCCGATCAAACATCTCTCAGGTACTCGGACATCGTCAAGGATCACCTAAGACTCTTCAAACATTGCTTCAGTCCACATGAAAACACACCCTTGTTGAATGAGGAAAGGAAGAGAAAAATCAGGAGAAACATGAGTAATTGATCTGGAGCTTTTGAACTAATATCAGGACCAAAAGGTGGAAGAAAACGGGACGCACCGATGAAGTAGGTTGAGAACGCCACCCAAGCTTGTCTTCTTGGCGGCCAAAAGATAAGCCTTTACTGTCCTACATGCAGCAACACAGCAATGTTCCTACTTGAACTTCAACATCAAGATTCTGCTGATGCACTGTTTAATATCAAGGTTCCAACCATAAAACCTAACATCAAAGAAGCACAAAAGTCCAAACATGGTAAGAAGTAGCTGATGCACACCTTATCAACATAAAAACATGAAATGCCTTTAGGACCTGCCTCGCCTGTACGAGCCATTACCAAATACACATCGGCAGCACCGCCACCACTTATGAATGCCTGTTGATCAAGAATAAACGACAATAAATTTAAAAAATTAAGTGCTACACAGAGTCTAGCATAACATATCTGGCAGATCTCCTATCAACTTAAAGTAATAAAATAATTGGACATGACTAAAAACTTACTTTTTCTCCATTAAGTATGTAATCCGTACTTCCCGCCTGCCTTCGTGCTGTGGTCTGCAAAATAGGAGGCTCATTACCATTCCATTCTCAATTGTCACAAGTACAAGAGCTACATGGAAAGTCTCAACCTTGATGCTGAAATTACAAGATAACACAAGCACCACGTCAAAAAACATCATTACTTTTGTTCATGAGAAAATCCATATTCGTAACTGAATAGCAAATTGAAAGCAACAAAACTTTAATAATGCGTGCAGAAACCTGAAGAGAAGCCGCGTCACTCCCGCTATTGGGTTCTGTCAAACAATAGGATGCCAGTAAATCCTGCACAAAATTGGAGAAAAGCACTCACAAATACTGGTTTCGCAAGACTCGATTGCTCTATAATGGCTACCTTATCTAGAAAACCATGCATGAATTTGGCTTCTGTCCTACCACTTGCAGCAAACAGAACACGAGTACTCCACCACGCTGTACAAATTTCTAAAAATATTCCTTGCAAAGCTTCAGCTGCATCGTCCATGCCAGGAGATTGCTAACCGCAGGACAGATTTCGGGAAGAAGTAATGGTCAACAAAATCAACTGCCTGTAGGAATCAAATAGTCCAAACGCAGGTGGGATCAGAGATCAAGCACCATTGAAGTAAGCTCACGAAGAAAATCTTGACGTTGATCCTCTGTTCCATATCTGCCAAACAATCGCCAAACAGTATCATAACCCACATGATGACAAACACCAACATTTCCAGATCAGCGATACGGTCTCTCAATGAGACCAAGTCTTGAACTGATCAATTATTAATTGAATTAACATCACACCTGAATCCGATAATGCTCGCCAGAAAACAAAGAGATTCATATTCAAAGAGCATTTCGCGGATGCTTCAAATTGATGGCTGATTCACACCCAAAACTAAAGAGCGGACGAATATAGAATATAGTACCCACCGCTCTATAAGGGAGGCACACATATTATGAATTGTGAGATAAGCCGTAGTGCTCACATCGGCATAAGCAAGAGCCTCAAATATAACAGCTCCATCTGCTCGAGATAACCTGCAATGCAGAACAGTCCAAATTACATCATCATTATACATCGTAAAAAAACACTCAGAGATTCCAGCTTCTTTCTAAGTAGTACACTTTAGGACCTGGTACGAAGATGATAGACAATGCAATGAGGAAGTGAGTCAACAATTTTTAGCGACACATTTCAGCATGTGCAAGGCTGCCGGCTACAGAGAAGAAACCTGATATAAGGAAGTTCACATAAAGAGGAGGAGATAAACCTAGCTGCTACATCAATATCAATTTTATGACACATCCAGTACGTGAAATCATTTGGTCATGCTTTGGGTCACTTTTGCTAATTATTCCAAGGGATAGTTGCACTGTAAGAACCGAGATATTAACCGATGGTTTCATATTTTCTTTAGGCTGAGCATGAACATTTCATCTCAACCCTAAACCCTGGACCTCACGACTAGTGCTTCTTGAAAACCCATAACCTACTTCAGCAACTAAAGGGCTGACAATGCGTACCCCGATCCCCCAACATCGTGGCCACAGTAAAGACCACCAAACCCCAGCCCAGCTGCTTTGCGCAAGACCTCCACGGGAAAATGCTTTTGCTCATCCCATTGAGCTGCGAATGGCATCAGCTCATTTTCTGCAAAGTCCTGCTCGCATGTTGGAGATAACACGTATTACGGGCTTTCTTACGATCAATAGGGGAGACGATTACAACATGTGCATGCGGAACTTTCGAAGTCATTTAAATTTACAGAGTCGGGATTAGAAGCAGCATAGTGTCTTCAATACTCCTTCAGGTGATCTGAGCCAACTCGAATCTCACTGATCACTAGCAAAAAAATAGACCATTGACCATGCTTTAACCCTCATCGTTGTTGAAATAGCAACATCTTGACACAGAGGAACCTCAAAAGTACACCTTGATCTAGAATGATGGCCTTTCATTGTAACTAGCTAACCATCCTTAAAAAAAGTACCCAAAACGTATTCAGAAAGAAGAAATGATCACGCACCGAAGCAAGAGAACGAAATTGCAATTGATCTGCAGTCAATTGATGTTCGTTCCACGTCCTGGATTTCAAGATCGCCTCTGAAGCGTTTGCCACAGCATGCTCCGACGCACTCGCGGACGGGGACTCATGGACTGACGGTGATGAGGTATCTGAAACGCCTTTGATTACACCGGACGAACAGAAACGAGTCAAGCTCGCCTGTGACCTGACCACCCAATTCCTCCGCGAACCCAAAAGCGCTCGAGATAATTGAAATGATCCCATGTCCTGTAACAACCAACAAAGGTCAATACTCATCGCACCGATCGACTCCCAACAATCTCTCAAGCTCCTCGACCCAATCCAGCAAATTCAGAAAACCTCACGAAACGCGTCATCTATACAAAAGTCGAAGGATGGTTAAGCTTCGCAAAAAATAAAACAAAACAAAAAAACAAAAAAACAGTAGAAATCTCAGTACATCATCAAGTCAAAACATAAACATACCATATCAAAAACTCGGCATAACCACAAAACCTTAGAAACTCGTGAAAAAACAAAACACAGCCGTTCTAAGCATATCCACATGCACAAAATGCATCACAGGAACTCTACTGAAGACTGCAAGAAGCCATAATCCTGAGAATTGCACAGGCAGAGCTTACAATGAGCGATGAAGTTGGGAAGCAAGGAATTGGAATTGGAATTGGGAGATTGAATTGCAAGAGCATAGACTCTCTCGCTCAATTGGATGAGAATATGGGCACAGAGACTCCGAAAACACACAGCGTCCAGCGACGCTCTGGTGATGACGTGTAGATCTGAGCATCCTGCCTGGCATGTCATGGTCTAGTCAGCACTGCCATGTCACCGCCACCTCATCCGACGTGTCCTCCTCTTGTCTTATTCCGACTTTGGAAATACGCTTGATTTTATGGACTCGGCCAATTACTTTTGCTTTTACTTTATTCTCTCATCAAATGTTTGCGATGGTTCTCAATTATTTCATTTATTTGTTATTATTATTATTTTTTGACATTCTCAGTTGAGGTGATGAATGTTAACTATTATTTGTAAGCTTGAAGTTTTAAATTCACCCTGATCTTTAAATAATATGCTTACCTCAGAATGAATATTTTTAGAAACGTTACATTTAAAAATATTTCACTTCTAGAAAATACAGCTTTAAATATATGTGCTTTTTAAAATAAATTTGGCAAAAAAAAGTATATAATGTAAAAAAAAACATCATAAAATTAAATCAATATATATATATATATATATATATATATGAAAGTATTTGTTAGAGGAGATATTAAAACAATAACATTTTTTAAAAATTTTAGAAATACTTGGTCTCATAATCTATGTTTAGTTTCAATGTGACACATCAAAACGAAATAAAGAAGCAAGCTTGAAGTCTTCAAGTTGTATAAGTGCAATTAATATATATATATATATATAAATTTCATTTCAAAGAATTGATTTCCTAAATGTATTGTAAATTAACAATATCATACTTTTGAACATTATAAAAATAATAATATAAGTAGATTACATTTGGATCAATTAATTTAATTCATAATAAAAATTATAACTTATTTACAAAAAAATCATTAACTTTATGACTTTAATTTTTTTTATCATATCTATAAATTAATTAACATTTAAAAATATTTTTGTTTTAATATATACTCTAATAAATAATTAGAAATTTTATTATATATTATAATTATAATTTTTAATTAGTATGTAATAATAGTATGCATTAATTTTTTATATATATTATATTTAAAAATTAAAATTCTTATTAAAAGATTTATAAAAAAATCATTTAAATTTGTCTTTAAGATTGTATTCATCTAATTTTTTTAAAAATTTTATTCTTCTTTCCTCCTAAAGAATACTATAGATTTTTTATTGCCTTTGTTTATAAATGTTTAATATAAAAATTAATATTAAAAATATTAATCCAAACTTTTGTACTATATATAATTTGTTTGAGAATTTGTTTATTATGGTATACTAAAGCATATGTAGATATATGTATAAGACTTATCTTAGTACAACAAAATGTTCTCAAGATAACATATATATATATATATATATATATAGATTAGAAGTTGATAAAGCCACATTGCTTTAAGCCATCTCATCATTGATTCCGTCCATTCTTTATCTTTGTCTCTTATTTCCTAGTCTCTTGTTTCCAGTTCCCCATTCCCATTTCTCAGTCTCTCATTTTCTAGTCTACCATTCTTTGTCCCATTTCCTCGTTCCCTAGTCCCTCATTTTTCAATCTCATGTTTCTTGTCTCCATTTTCTAGTCCTTTATTTCCTAATCTCCCATCCATGTCCTCTATCCTTATTCTCCAATCCTCTTTTTCCCAATCTATACTCCTAATTTTCCAATCTCTTGTTCTCCAATCCCTTATTCTCTAGTCTTCATTCCCAGCTTTAACAATACTATTAATTAAATATAAAACTTCTAAAATGGTTTATTGAAGATTGGTGGCATATTTTTAAAGCATAAGAATTATAGACAAAGGAGACATATATTTTTTGATAATATTATTCTAAAAGACTTTTTTTTATATAAATGTCAAATATATCATATATTCTATTATAAAAAAAAAAAAAATAGATTGATTGATATTATAATTGATGCAAATAGTTTATGAAAATATTACACATATATATAAGATTCAAAATTGTACATAGATTTTTCAATATTAAAAACACATTTGACAACAAATGTATAATCAAATCATTAATGTGGAACCAAAATAAAATAAATATTAATCTATTGTAAAAAATATAATTTTACATACTATATATATACACACATATTTAAAAAAATATATAATTTTTTAAATGGTTAAAGGATTGTTTTCTTAAATGTATATTTTTATAAGTATCCAAAAATTTAATATAATACTCTTTATGATTTTAAAAAAGTATATAATATATTTTAGAAAATTTATTTAATTTTAGAAAATATTATGCTAATTTAGAATTTTATTTAGTATTTCAAAAATATAATGGTTATTTTTTTTAGAAAATAAAACTTCAAATTTATAGAGATTAAGAAAGATCATCTTAGATATTTATTTATTCACAAAGATATATAATTCATATCGATTCTATTTATAATGTAACAAAAAAATAAAGAATGTTTATATTTTTTATGAGACCAATAGAACTTGCAAGGTAAAAAAATAAATTAAATAAAATAAAAACTGCACTCAAAGTAAGAGTTAAAAAGATCAATAATAGATTTTTTTTTGGCTCGTTGACATTTTAAATGCAAGTTTCAAATACTTTAAATTATTTTATGAGATTTATAAAGAATTATTTTTTATTGTGATATTATTTAAATTTTATAAAAATTAAATAAATATGATTTTTAAAATAATACAAAAAATTATAAAAGTGGCTAAAGTTAAATATTTGTAAATTTCTTCTTTCTCTATCAAAACATTTCATAAGAATATCTTACAAGTAAAATAATAATTGATTAACTTTGGTACATTCTAAATTTTATATTTGATTGTGAACTTATAAGAAATTGATTGTAATATAATTAAATTTTGGATTGTTTTACTCAAATAATTGTATATGCTAGATTAAGGAACTAGGATGGAGAACGGAGGATGGAAATGGGAGATGGATGGAATCAATAATGACATGGCAAGGGGAGATGTAGCTTTAACAATATTGAGGTGAGGCTTTATGAACTTCTTATCTATATATATATATATATATATATATATATATAATTAAGCTATGATAATTATTATTAAATACAAAATATCTTAAGAGTTGTGAATTATAATTAAATTATAAGAAATGAAATAATAAATCTTACAGTTATCTCAATTTTGCCTATACATATACTATCTAGTAAAAAACTATGTAGAAGTTTCTTAAAGACGACTATGCTTGCAAAATAAGTATCAAAATTACAAAATACAAATATAAATATATATATATATATAATTTATTATAAATATATATATATATAATTTATTATAAATATATATATATATAATTTATTATAAATATATGAAAATACTATAAATAATATAATATATTAGAATATTTCATATCATTAATTCTTCATAGAAATAAATTATAGATGTAATTTTAGATTAAAATTATATTTTGTCAATTGAGTATATATATATATATATAGTGGATTTTAAGGGTATTGCTAATGCTATCACAATTTTTGTTACTACCACCACAACTCACCATATTTCTTTAATTTTAATTTTTTAATTAATTTTTTATTAATCTTCATATATATATATATATATATATATATAATAAAGGTTTTGAGAATAATTATACATAGATATTTAAAAAGTATTAAATTATGTATGTATATGTATATATATATATATATTTATTTATTTATTTATTTATTTTGCATTAACAAAGGATGTGGGTGTCTTGTGGTAGATAGCAGGTTGTGGCAGTAGGAATACCGTATTATGATTTTATTTATTTATTTAAACAAAGAATAGGATATCAAATTAGAATAAATTTAGGTTAAAGAAAGTGTTAAATATTAGACAAGAATAAGTTCTTTACAGAGTTGGAATTTTTTAAATCTTGCAACTTGAATTATATATATAATCAGGTGGCATATAGAGAATGTTTATTTATTAAATATATGATAAATACACCAGATATGAAAATACAATTGTTCATATAGTTCAGCCAATATTTAAGCTATATATATCTTTGGTAATTCAATTGAACTTCACCAAATACAAATCTAATGTTTTGGTTGTCCATCTCATAGATAATCTACCTACAAATCATTCTCTCTGCTAATATTCATCTGTGAAACAAAAGTATTAAATAAAAAAACATAATTTCACTTTTTTTCCCTTTGTCACACTAAAATTGGTTTATTAAACTTAGTACTAACAGACTTTGTTTCAAATTTAGAATAAATAGACGATAATTAGAGTGATATTTTGATATAAATTATGCCACAGTTAAGGAAGATACTTGGTGGCATGGTTTTGTAAAGATGTAACATGCAATATGTATGCTCTCACGAAGCTGCTAGAGTAATAAAAGGTATACAACAAATTGGCACCCATAATTGGAGAAAATAGCACCATCAAAGCAGAATGGAACTCAAGTTAAAGAAAACTAAAGAAACTTAACAGAATACTTGCGTCTTTATCAGACACCACAGGCTTCATGGCACTGGGGACACAAAAACTTGATGACTCAAAATTCAGAATATGATCAGTTCACATGAGCCGGTTTGATTTCTTCAATAGGAGCAGCATGGAATTCTCAAGCAGGAGTTGCATTGATTTCAAGGGAAGTGTGGAGTTGTCAAGAAGCGTTGCAACTAGATTTTGCACCGCGGAACAACAGCCATACTCAGCAACAGGGGGCTTTGCAGCTGGATTAGCGACAGCGACCGAGACTTCCACTTTGATACCTAGAGACCTTGAAGGACCCGACAATCTGACTCATTTGCTAAGGTGATGCTATTTTGACAGCTTTGATGACAGCCATCTCTGACCCCAAGTGAATCTCAAAATACCCTCTTGAAGTACGAAGAGAAAGCTGGTGGCAAAAGCTTTAGAATCCTTAGACAGTTCCACAAAAAAATTACTGGTCAGAGCTTTTATGTTGAGGTCGTGTCAGAATGGTCTCTATTGTGGATGTGGCCGCTCACCACCCAACTAAGTGGTTGGTTGAATAGATCATGTGACCGGGTCCTTAGAGCATCGTGAGGATGGACAAGAATGTGTGTATGCGAAACCATACTTGGCAGTTTTGATTTAGGTTCAAACACTCAGACGGTAAGATACACGCAGCTGCTACTTCTGTGGCGGTCTAGAGTTTGAAGCTGTTGGAAGCAGAAAGTCAGAACGAGTAAGCAATCAACGTTGGTCAGCGATGGTTTCCTATTTCACCTTGCTGTATACTATTCAGCATAAATGTGTGTAAAGAGTCTTTTCTATGTGCAAACTCATAGAATCTCATTCTCTCTGTGTTTGTCCTGTGAATTCGCCTCTGTAATGAGATTGTTTATCTTCAGCGAGTATAGAGGAAACTTTACTTGTACATTTACACGTGTGTGTGTGTGTGTGCAACTTGAGGATATTTTAAGTGTTTCTGAACTAGTTGAGAATGCCCATACCACATTTTGGCGAACTGGGTTGTGCGAAGTACCTTCTAGCTTTGAAGTTCATCTGCTCAGCACAATACTTCTACTCGTCAAATGGGGTATTAGTGTGTTTAATGACGAGTGTGATCGGACGGAGGTTGCCTTCCGAACTGACAACTGATTCCAAACAAACCCGAACGTCTTCGTTTTGAAGCCGAAGCTGTAAACAGCAACTCGGATTGGAAAGCAACATACCTTGAAGAGCATCAAAAAACTTGGGAGAGGAGCAGTTATGGCTTCCAGTCAGTTCCATCTGTCATGGGTTGCCACAATCCTAGTTTGGAGTTTACACATAACTCTCCGCATCATGAGCCGATGACAGCATCATAGGCTTCTTTCTTTGTAGCTGAGTCAAAAAGAAGAACAATTACAGTTGAAAGTTATCATGTCAATTTGCATTATTAGGACCTGATTTTCTTTTTCTTTTTCCGTTCCCACCTGCACAGCTGTTTAATAGTATTTCGTGAGGTGACAAAAGACTTACAGTTACACAGTACTGTATTGAGACATGATCTCCGAATGCTGGAACTAGTTGATTTCACCTCAAACTTAAACCTCCTCTGGTATTCGGCAACAAGAAATAGAACAAAACTGTGCAGAGCTCTCTTCCCATCCACACTTGTACATCCCAGGTTTCGAAATGTATCCACATAATTTTCTTTAGAAAGCATTTTAAGCGCCAATGTTTTGGCACACAAATATGTCCATCGACATAGTGTATCATGTTTTGGCACACAAATATGTCCATCGACATAGTGTATCATGTTTTGGCACACAAATATGTCCATCGACATAGTGATTAGCTCATGGTGACTACCCTAATTGTTCATTTATATTTATTATGATCAATATTTATTGATGTTTTTACTTGGCATGAGGTCAAATAATATAATTTTAGTAAATTTGAGTAGGGTTTTTATTATGTTTATTTTTTATGCAACAGTATTTTTGTAAGCATTTTTCTGATTTTATTTTGAACGTTGGTATATCTGATGGAAATTTGATTGGTTTCTCTACTGTTTCTCGTACTGTGAAACCTCACATTGTTCTTTCTTTCTTGTGGTGAAAGATTGAATATTTTTTTTTCTAGACCTATGGTTTTTTCACTATCTGAATGTAATAGATTTGGTTCAGTTTTTGTGTACTGTAGATCATGTGGTAGTAGTTCAACTAAATGTTCTTAGGGAACTACGTCAACAGCAATTTATTTGATTATTTGAGATGTTAATCAATGGACAAGTTTGGTTGGAACTCTTCTATGCTACCAAACTTTCATTGAATATGAACATGAATATTTATTTGAATATTCTATATACTCTGGCAATGACAAAGTTAGATTCATACATAGTCATCAAATGGTTGTTGGAATGTAGTTGTACATTAAAATTGATGTGGAGTCTCAACAAAAAAAATTAGTCATTTTATGATATTTCATGATCTCTAAAAATTTCCCATTTATAATGTTTTGGAGTTATTTCATGACTTAGCTACAAAAATTCAAAAATTAACAATATGTACTATAGTATCTTTGCTCCAAAATACCCCAAACTTCCAACAATATTCTAAACTGAAAAAAATATTAAAAAAAATGTAAGTTTGCAAGCACTATAATATACATGAAAGTTTAAAACTAGATATTCACATGAGCCCAAAAATGTAGTATTCAACCTTTTCAAAGGAAAAAACTTAATCTGATAGAGACAATCAATGAGAAATAATATCTGTGTCATTATGCTTACATAGCAGAGTCTCTCATACATTTTCGGATAACCACTAGTCAAGTTAAAAATAAAAATAAAAAACCCCTCTATCTTGCTAATTACTTGTGCTACTACATTAATTCTCACATTGAAATCAACAAATAGTCTATTTCTTAGTCTGAATATTATGAACATGGGACCAAGACACAAGACAAAAAGCCAAGAGAGCTTTCAAGATGCTGCCACCTCGGTGGATGATCATGCAAAACATTCATCAAGCTTTTATTTGGATGATGCCTCCTCCTTCCCAAACCAGGGAATGAAACAGCCTCCCTTTCAGGGCCCATTTCCAATCACAAGACTCTGGCCGTTTGAGTTTGAATTCTCCTTTACTTTCCCCACAGTTTCGCGACCTGGCCACGTCGCCTGTCCAGGTGGACATCCACGTGGACGTCCAGCTCTGCAAAGCCTCCCCTCTGTACGAAATTAGCCTCATCATCTCTTCTCTGAAAAAACCCTATTTCCTCAAAAATAATCCCTTTCTGATGCCATCCCATTGGCGGATGGCAGAAAAATAAAAGCTGCCCTCCACTTGGCTGAGGCGCCCCATCTGTGGAAAGGTCTCATAGCCCCCCTTTTTTTCCTTCTTACCTTCACATGAACCTCCCTTACAAAGAGACACCCAAAACCCCTACAAACTTTTGGAAACAGTTCACTTTTGTTCTACAATCCAAAATTGCAACACTAACCAGATTCCTGACTTCCATTCACTCTGATGCACTTATCATTGTGTGCATGCCTGAAAGAGCAAAGACCCAGCTTAATGTATTTTGTTGTTATTGCCAGGACTGTTAGTTGGCATCAGTGAGATGGGTGGGGGATGCATTGAAGCCAGGGCTGGTACAATGGAAGGATCTGGAACAAGGAAATGTCTGAATCCATGGGGATGTGATCTCCATCATTGACAGTGCAGGCTGAGTGTGTGTGTGCCTAGTGAGAAAAGGTGGGTATTCTGTCCTTGGTCACAATAAAATGTAATTTTTTGTGTTAATTAGGGCAATCAACTGGTGCTCTGTTCTTCTTTTTATGTTAATTTGGTGGTGTGGGGTTTCAAGCCATGGAAATTGTACACATTGCAGTGGTTGTATTGTTGAGCTTGCTGATGGTGATGTATGGTTTATTGCTTTGCTTTGTTATTGCAGGTGAGTGATTGTTAGTGTGTGTGTGTGTGGGGGGGGGGAGATAAATGTGAAGGATTGTGCAAGGGTGTAAGTGCAAAGAAATAGAAGTGGATGAGCATGTGTGTACAGGTGAAGACAGACTGCAGGAACTGAAGATAGAAGAGAAGGGAAAAGAGAGTATGTAAAGAAGAAATACAAAGATTGCATGTGTGAGAAAGATTGTCTGTTGTTGTGAATGATAAAATGTGTGTAAAAGTAAATTAATAAATGAATAAATAACAGCAGCAACAACAACAACAACACCACCATTTGTAATAAGGGCAAAGAAATGGGAAAATGAATAATATGTGTATGAAGAAGAGAATATTAATGTGTATGTGTGTGGGAGAGAACAGACTGGGAGTGGTAGTGACAAAAGAAATGAATAAAATTAAGAAAATAATAAGAATAGTAAAATGTACATATATTTGTGTGTGAGAGAGAAAAAGAGTGGGAATGAAAGTGCATGTATGGGTGATTTAGGGAAAGGTATAGATAGGGAGGGAAAGAGAGTCTGTGCATAGTGTAGTGAAACTGTGTTTTTAATAAACCAAAGTGAAAGTTGGTTAGATAAGGAGGATTGTAAACCACTGTCATATGTGCAATTATTAAACTACATTGGAGATGTGCAAATAAGAGAATAATTTCAAATGTATTTTCAAAGAATGCTACAAAGTTATTTATTTGTTTAATCATCTGTTCATAACTCACTCAAAATGATTTGCCACAATTATTCCATGTAGACCACTTTTGGCTTTAGAATTTGAAAGAAAACTACAGAGGTGTCAAAAAGAAAGTATTAATGAAAGTCCAATCCTTTGGCAATTTGGAAGGTCATTCCCTGCAATTCTTGTAAAAGGGGATGTCCATTTATCCAGGACCTTGGGGAAGCCATGTTGTGGGGATTGCAATAGCCAAATTGTTGCCCAAGGTTGAGGGAGGACATTTGCAACAAAATAATGCCACATGTATTCTCTAGAAGGAATTTATGTACTCCAAGTATATACCTCACAAACCACAGTACAAACAATCAACAACAAAAAAATAAAACAAAAGTAAGATCAAAAGGAAATAAAAACAATAACAATAACACAACAAACTCATGCAAGTGTTGGATGGGGACATAACTTTTGCCACCAAACAACTCTTAAAACCATCCATCTACCCACCTATTCAGTCATTCACTTAGTCACTCATTAATTTCTCACCATTTCATCAACAATTATACAAACTCTTCACTTGCAGACGTCGTCCAAGACTGTATTCTTCTTCGTCCTTCTCCTCCTCCTCTTGCTACTGTAACTGCCCCGCACATCATCAACTTCGTGTACAATACTATCATTAGTGAGGGGAGCTTTGGATGCTGCTCATGTTTTAAGGCTGCTGTCCTTAACAAAACCAGGCTGATATTTTTCCACGGCGCTCGTACTCTGAAGCTTGCAGTTGTCATTGCAGCTAACGTATTGCATTGTGTTGTATCGGCGTCGAGGTTGTGTACCGCCAGGTGGTGGCTGTGGTGGTGGTGGCGCTTGTGTAATCTTTCCCCTGTAGTCTGAGAAACTGGGTGCTGCTGTGCATGATCTTATAAGTGGAGGTGTGTGTTAAGAGGCCAGCTCGTGCAACAGCCCACGCATTTGGACTCTCCTCACACTTATTGTCCAGGTGGGTGCCAAGCCATGCGGGTGCTACGGTGGCTGTGTACCTGTTGAGGCGAGCAATGCCACCAACCGAAGCCAGGTAAAAGGCTGTCGTTATGAATCTAATGGACTTGGGTTTTTGAATTTCAAACCCTATTACAGGAGACTTGAATGAGCCCAATCCATTGCTTGGTGGAAAAAAAATAGCAAAAGCACAGATCCTGATCTCAGATTTGCATAATTGGTGTTGGGGGAGCGACATTACTGAGTATTGCACGCATCCCGATGCATCGGATTGCACCGTGCGCTCCCAACCGTCTCTAGCTAGGGATGTGTTTCTCCTGCCGTGTGGAAAATGATTTGGGCCGATGCTTTCGTTGTGCCGAATATGGAAAGAAGAAAACGGACGAACGTTTGAATTTCGAAAGGGGTTTGTTCGGATTCCATCACCGGGAAAATGCCTCGACGACATCGAAGCTTCCAGATTGATTACGGTATTAAATATAGTGAGGGAATTTACCAAAAGGAAAAGACGATGTCCTTACCGTGATCACCGAACAGCACAGACAACCAGACAGTAGGAAATCAACCAGATTCGAAACCAACCTGTTGCAACTCTTTCTCAACGCCCCACGAACACAGCGATGCAACACGGGCGATTGCTAGGCTACATTATAGGGTAGTATACCTTATTCTATAAGGTCAAAACCTTAAATCCCCATTAGAGCTGGAAATTTTGGTATTAATTTTATTCCAGGATACATCTCTGGCCATTTTCCAGGCTCTGAGCAAAAGGGCCAGAGTGTCAAAGCTAACATGTGGTCTTCGGCGCTCATGCTGCGCCGCCTTCCTCGTGTCAGCTCGGTGCTCGCTCGTCACTCCGCTCTCCAACTCTATTGATCCCTTCACCCTCTCATGCTCAAACCGGTTTTCTGTTTGTTCGACCTGGTGGAGCTGCTCAGGACACATGAGTCTTCGATGTGCAGACCCCGATCGATGCAGAATCGAATAGGGAGCTTTCAAGTTAGATCCTGGAGGAGACGAAGGAAAGCCTGATTCTCAGGAGCGTGGGAGGTTGGAGCCGTTTGGTGGAGTAGATCTAGCTGATTTGCAGGAGCTTGAATCTATAGGAGGGCACTGCAGTAGTTTTGATGTTTTTGCTAAGTGCTACCTGGAATCTGGGTGTGTAGAGGAATGACAGTAAGGGGTGGAGCAGTTGAATGGACTTGCTCTGATGAGAAATCTTTGTCGGGAAGGGATCTATCGCAACATGGTCGGGTAGCATTGTGACTGCCAGGTAGTTCCATGCCAGCTGCGATCCGAGTCTAGTCTACACGTTGTGAGGTAAGTATCTGTAATCACTTTATGCCATTCCTTGAGGATTGACTCCGCTCTTGTGAGGTAGTGCAAATATTCGTTTGTGAATGTTCACTTTGTTGCGCAGTTGTGAATTTGACACTAGCCCGTAGCAAATTGAAGACCTGGGTACTGTTTTAGCATGTCAAGCATTTCAATGTGGTTCAGTTTAGAGCAACCTTTAATGCATTTTTACGGCATGATTAGTTGACAGACGTGGTCTGCAGCGAGCTAGAAGCGTGACGGACTGCAACCCTCTTTGTAATACTTCAGCTTTTTCGCGGGGCCGAGTGGCTACTTTTCTTCCCGTGGTGGGTATCGGGGTAAGGTCTGCCGCCTGCGGACCGCGAGAACATGGGCCTAAAATGCGTAGGTAATGAAGAGGACATGCAATTGGTGTTAACTATGGGAAGCTTGAAGGGAAATTGCCGTTGACTGAAGTCCTGCCTCACGTGTGGCTTCGGGATGTTCAGGGACATTTGCAATGGGTAAGCCATGGCCGAAGTGCATGTGGAAGGGGAGTTCGGGATTAGGGGGGAGGATGGAAGTGAGCAGGGATCCCTGATGAGGGTCGATTTGAAGTAGACGTCCCATTTGCACCCTGCCGGCAAGATGTGTCCCATGTGTGAGAAGAGAGCGCAGCTTGTATTTCAGCAACAAGCCGTTGTAGAGTCCACTGCCGCAAGCAAGGCAGCAGGTTCTTCTCAGGCGGGGGGAAAATCCTACCTCTTTCGAAACCCCTTCAAGTCGTGCAAGAACTTGACTCACCAGTGCTGCTCCCCGTTATGTGAGAGCCAACGCACGTCGATTGCTTCTATGCGCAGATCGTCCGTGCGACCTACTCCCACTTCAGATCATTCTGAGGAGCTGAACTCAAATCTCCTAGATGATATCTATCTTGTGTTGGAGTCTCCTCTGAGTGTGGAGTCTTTGCATTTGAAAGAAAACCAACCACCAGCGCAAAAAGTTCCGCAGGGGTTGCCAGAACCAGCCGAAGAGCCCGCGGAGCCGAGGAGGAAACGAATAGGCTTGCTGACGCGGTTGAGGCTTCTCACTTATGGCACCTCACAAGGAGAGGTCGAGAAGGGTTTGCAGCGGGAGTCCATTTGCAGGGATTCCAATCTCACAACTCGCGGGACGAATGTCATAGCTGTGACAGATAATCTCAACCATGAGGATCATCATGTTCGAGGAAGTGTTGTCGACACGCCCTCAAATGCAACCGTGCTGGCTGCCGAATCGTCTTTAGATACGGTCTCCGAGATCAGCCTCAATGTGACAGAAACGAACGTCTCCGAGACGACGATGATGTCTATGATGAATATGAATGGCAGTTTCTGCTCCCCGTTTGATGTTTCCTACCGAGGGTCCACGCTCAAGTCGAGTACATACGACGACGACGCGAGCAGCTTTGCCATTGTGCCTCGAACGAGCATGCAATCCAGCTTCGTGCAGGACTGGGAGAGTGATGCGAGTGGGCTTTCGGATAGGTTTGGGGAGCTTGACATCGGCTATTTGTCGTTGGAGGAGAGTGGGGAAGGTCCCGACATCGACGACACCGTGTCGATTTCTTCGTCTCAATGTGACGATTTGGAACTACACATGCACCCTGAAGGTACTCGCACGGCTGCATTTGATTCGTCCTCCCACTTCTTATAAGTTCCAGTAATTTGTGCATGTTTAAGATACATGATTCCCTGCCAATGCACATATAACTCATGTTCTCACTTTTACGGATGGACAGATGACACGGTATCAGAGTCCGACTTGGATCAAGACTACAGCGTCAGCACAGATTCGCAAGAGTGGTGCACTGAAACCGATGATACGGCGTCGGTGTTGGACCGATTGAGAGGTCACCACCGAACCCGAAGCAAGAACCATCACCATCTCCACCTTCCCGTCCTTCAAACAACGCCCCCTCATAACGTCACCCGGCCACATCATGACCTCCACCTTCCTGAGCTACAGGCCACACCACCTCACGATCTTACCCCGCCCTCTCTACCACACCAGCAACTATCGGATGCGAACATAACAGACTCTCCACTAAGTGAAGATCCTCCCAACCAGACACCTGACGTCAATGAAGCTACATTGGAAGAGGCCCAACCACCAGAGAAGCAGGTGAGTCCGCTTGAGACACCGAAGAGCGTCGAGTTTTCATGCTCACGGTGCGGGCGCAAGGAGAAGAAGCCTGATCCAGAAAGCTATCCACAACCGACGACAAAGAAGTTGACTCGCAAGGACAATGTCATGTCGTCATACTTCCATACCTTCATGGATGGTTCTGACCAGGCCTTGATGGCAGGCAAAGTGGCCGTCCTCTTGGGAAAATATGGTAACCGGAAGGGACTCAGAGTGGCTGGACTGCCACCCGGGACAAGGGAGTTTCACAATGAGGTGAAATTGTCTGCGGATGAGCTGCAGAGACTGCGGAGCATCATTTGCCCCAACAATGACGCTGTGACGTCGTTCCAGAACGAGGTGGCGCGCATGATGCTGGAAGGAGTGGACGTGCCGAATCTCAACATGGACGTTGAGCAGTTCATTGCGGGTTACATGAAGCTTAATTCGCCGTTCTACATCGATCTCATTGAAGATTTCTTCAAGTCTGTCTGCATTGATTGCTTTGGCCACATGGAGGAAGTGGGGAGAGATAAGTCTGGGCATCAACGTCCTGCGTACACCGTGTTGAAGCCGAAAAAGGGCCCCAAGAGCGCTGTAAAGCACACCGGCAAGAGATAGTCTCATGCTCTGGCGGTGTCCAGGGCTGTCTGCGATAAGTTCTCTAGTCTTCGTGATCCTGTACAGATTCATTTAACTCTCCCGAAAATTTTGTTCGATGTTGAATGATTGTGGCCTCATGGCTTGTAGAATAATGTGGTACATCGGTCTGATGTAGGTAATGGTAGCGAAGCGGGAGATTTCTAGGCAATCGCTTAGGATTCAGATTTTTTAAAATGAAAACCTCATTGTAGACATTAGGTCTAGACAGCAACTTCGATTCAAGGTGGGTTGAAGTAAAATAGCCTCCTGGATCTTTCACCTGCAGTTCTAGTTTCAACTCAAGAGTTTGTTCATCACTACATCCTGATTCCTGGTGCGGCTGATTGCCATAGCTTGTCTATCGAATTCTGTCCATTACTTGCACCAACCTGATCAGTACAGATTCCTCTAGACGGTAGGTTTCGTTTTCGGGATGCGCTTGCTGTCGAAGTTCTTATCCTTAACTGAGTAGCCTTCTAAGTTCGCTACCCATGATTCGACACACCGAGCAACTGAAGCAGTCTGCTTGATATGAGAACCACCTATTAAAACCTTCAAAATATCCCTTCTCCGCCAAATTATCCTCAAATCTGAACACCACTACTGTACCCTTGCTCCAAATCTAGGGCTGTCCCGAAAAGACCTACTTCGTGAAAGATAATGCTTTGGCAAGTAATCATTTAGGCATACCATTCGCCAATTGTAAAGTTTTATTAACTGTAGCTGCATCAAGGCTAGACCCCTGCAGTTCGCCTGATTTCTGTTGGTTCACCTCCGACCGTCGAGTCAATCTGCACGTCAAACCTGCGTGACCTGGTTAGAATGTAAAAGTATAGACAAAAGTCTGTACCACTTCACATCATTTTAATAAATTAGTCTGTAAATTATACCAAATATATAACATTTACTATTCCAACTCTTTAACTTCATAAACTTTTAATGGCACATTATAGGTTGCAAATTGTAGCAACACATATATATATATATATATATATATATATCTATATATATATACAAACACATAAAATAATTAAATTAATTTTTATATACAAACTTTAAACATAAATGTGTATATATGTACATATAATATTACCTTTATTAGGTCATGATGTTTGTAAAATTATGAGAAAAAGATGGAATCAACATGATTATATAATGTTAAGTTAAACCCTATTCAGTTATAACTTCTCAGAAGTTCTGTCCATAGGATGCAAACTGATGCCATAACTTGGTAGAGATTAGTAGAAGTAAAACTATATATGTATATATTTACCTTTACAGACACCACTTATTATTGAAGAACAAACACTATGAAGTTACAATTCTTAGCATCAATAAGGTTGCGCACAAAGAGAATATGAAATAAGATGTGTCTTATTTCTAATAGCCAATACTTATAGGTAGTAGTTTCTATCCTAGAAGACAACTTCCACTCTTTGACTTTTATACACATGGTTCTAGGACCAAAGGACTCCATTCTTAAATAATAGTGAAGCTCTTCTAAATCACTTATCTCATATTCTTTTTTTTAACTTTGCCTTCAATCAATCCATCATCTTCATGGTATTGATAAAGATAATCAAGTCATCAATATAGAAGATAATAATCACTATGAGCTCACTTGATTTCATTACATATAAAGAATGATCAGATTCCCTTCTTCCAAATCTTTCATTCACAAAGAATATATTCATACATTGGTACCATGCCTTTGGAGATTGTTTGAGTCTATACAAGGCTTTCTTCAACTTACAAATAAGATGTTTGTTTTTTTCTACAAATCCTTGAGGTTGATCCATGTAGATGTCTTCTTTTAAATTTTTATTCAAAAAAGTCATCTCAACATCCATTTGATGCATCTCTAAGTCCATTGTTGCCTTAATTACAATAATAGTTTTAATGGTAGTAAATTTGGCCTTGAAAGCAAATATCTTGTTGAAATCAATACCAATAACTTATGAGTAGCCTTTGACAACCAATCTAGACTTGTATCTAATAATATTACCTATTACATCCTTTTTGGTTCTAAATACCCACTCACAACCAATTGAAGATTGATTTGATGGAAGTTGAGTCAATTCTCATGTTCCATTATTCATAAGTGATTTATACACTTCTTCTATTGTATTCTTCTACTTCATAGCATCCATGGACTTTATTGCATTACATAAACTCAATGAATTAGCAAAGAGTATAATATTTGCATGTTTTTCACTTATTTGAGAAAAGATGTGATTCTTCCACCATATACCAAGTTATTTTCTATCTGTCAAAGGATATCTCCTTTCACTCAATAAAGCTTGACCTTCTTTCACTTCAAGGTTTTTTGTAAGCTTTTTCTTTCTTAAAATTTACTCCCTCATATTCAAAGATTACTACTGTTTCTCATCATCATCATCTTCAATATCTTCTTTTGGTGAATTTGAAGATGTGTCTACAAATACACCATTACTCCTACTTGGACACATCTCCAAATGCTCATAAGCATTCTTATGCTCCAAAAGCTCTACAACACAACTCTTGATGATCTTCTTGTTTTTTAAATACATAAGCTTATATGCTTTGGTACCTTCACAATATCCAACAAACGTACATTTTGTACCTTTTGCATTAAGTTTGGACTTCATACAATTTAGTACCACTGCATAGGCAATGCATCCAAAAATCTTTATATATGAAATATAATGTTTCTTGTGACTCTAAACTTCTTGTAGAAACATTGATGTGAATATACTTATTGGGCACTTATTCCTTGTATAGATTGTATTTACTATTGCTTCTGCTTAATATTTATATCTAAGGTTTTTTGTATGAAGCATATTCCTTGCCATTTCTACAATAGTGTAATTTTCTCTTTCAGCAATTATATTTTGTTGTAGAGTGTAGAAAATAAAGGATTGTCTTACAACACCTTGAATCATCAAAATATTTTTACATATATTTACCTTCATTATCTTGGTACAATACTTTAAGCTTGCACTCACATTGTTTCTCTACAAGAGCCTTAAATTCCTTAAATCTTAAGAAATATTCATTCTTAGCTTTAATGATGTAAAATCACATTTTTTTTTGAAAAATTATCAATAAATGTGACAAAGTACCTTGTTCTTTCAATTAATGATATCTTCATTAGTCCACAAACATTATGATGCATAATTTCCAAGAATTTGGTAGGACATGTTACAATTCTTCTAAGAAATGAAGCCTTTTGTTGGTTGCTTTGTATACAACCTTCACAAGCAAGTATCAAGGCATTGTAGTTGAATTGATCAAGATTTAAGCTACTTATCATGCATTGAAGTTCTTTCATGCTTTTGGCATTCAAATGACTAAGTCATTGATGCCAAATTCTAAACTTTTCTTGATCTTGTGAAAAATTAGTAAATACTGCTTCTTCTACTTTATTCACTTTCTTATAATTGATAAAGTAGAGATTGTCATTTTTAAAGCCTTTGAAAACATATTGTCTACCTAATGTCTTCACAAAACATCTATTCTTATTAAATTGAACCTTACAACCATGTGATATAAGTTTATTCATTGAAAGGAGGTTCTTCTTTATATTTAGAATATATAAGACTTTTATTAATTTAATTCTCTTGATTTGGTCCTTAAGAATAATTTTCACAATAATAGATCCAATTTTGATAGCTTATACTATGCCATTGTCTCACAACCAAACTTTGGTTGTTGAAATTTCTTCATAAGTATCAAATGAATACTTGTATGATATCATGTACTTAATAATACCCAAATCTATAATCCACTCAGACATGGTAACTATGAAGGCTCCTTCACTTGCTATATAAGCATATTCATTTCCATCAAAATTATAACAAACATTGTTTATATTCTTTCTATATCCTTTCTTGACTTTGTAGTAATTTCTAGCAAAGTGACTTGGTTTTCCACAAATGTAGCAATTTCTCATGTTTCTTTTTAAATGATTACATTGGTATAAATAACTACATTTACCTTGTCTTGAAAATAGAGCCATAAATCATCACTTTAGAGCTTCTTTTCTTTCTTCTTGGTTACTTTATAGGCAAGCCTTGATAAGACATAATTCATAGTAAGCTCCTTCATGTTGATAGACTCCAATATCATAATGAAGTAGTTGTAGGACTTGAGAGGATTCATTAACAATGTCAACACAATGTCCTTATCATCAATTAGTTTGTGAGCAACTGCTAGTTGGTTTGTAAGTACTTTTATCTTATTGACATAAGCCATGAAATCAATTCATTCTTCCTTCTTTACCATTAAGGACTTTTGCCTTGTCCATAGAATATTGATAAGGTTTCTATCCTCATAGATGTTACAAAGAGTCTTTGATACTTCTATTGGTCCATTGTAAGCAATTACATGTGAAAAGTTGGCATCATCCAAATTTTATGTAATCATGCCAAAAGCCTTACTTTTACAATGTTTGTATTCCTTCTTCACCTTAACATTAGCATTATCTTTTGGAGGCTCTTTACTTTCATCTATAATGTCCCAAAGATCCAATGAAGCCAACAAAAGCTCCATTTTTTTCTTTCAATAGTAGAAGTTATCACCCTTAAATTTCTCAATCATTTTCAAATACTCACCTTTACTTGAAGCCATATCTAAGAAAAGGATGTATTAAAGAAAATAAAAAAAAAGAAGAAAGAATTCTCAAAATCAATAAGAAGGTGTTGCTACCTTAGAAATCTAGAATGCCCTCTTTGTGAGTATATTAATAATATTACTCTCTAATCACTTTCAACTTCACTTATAATACTCCTCATAAGTCTTATATTCTATCTAAACCTCTTGTATAAGCTTTGCCACTTCTTTATCATCTCTCTTCTCTCATGAAATATTTCTAACCTTACAAAACACTTCTTATCATTATAAGATGATCTCAAGAAAAGTTTATCACATAAAACCATAATATTAGATCACAAATGATGTAAATCAGGAAAAAAATAAAATACTAATATTATAAAATATCATTCTAAGGTATCAAATAACCTCCAATATTATCAATGCACTTAACAACAACTAAGAACAAGGCTATATTAATAATTAGATGCAACAATGAAATAAGATGATACTAAATCTTAACATCAGCAACAACTAAAAGATCTATTCTTCACAATAAGTAAGACTTCAAAGAACATCAAAATTCACAACAAAAGGTGAGTCGGCCCATAACCTATTGAAGAACAAGTACTACGAAGTCACAACTCGTAACATCAACAAGGTTGCACACAAAGAGAGTATGGAGTAAGATGTCTCTTACTTACAACACTCAATATTTATAAGTACTGGTTGCTACTTTAGAAGACAACTTCCACTCTTTGACTTTTATACACATGGTTCTAAAATCCTTTCGTATCTTATTAATTACAAAGATATCTTATGTCAAATACTAATTATTCTTACCTAGTCTTTGAATATTTCCTAGTTCATACTTTATCTTCTTGATTTTGACTCTTGATTCTTAACCTCATCCTATATCCATAGAATACTC